AGGGGGTCTACCGGGGGAGTACCTGGTGCTAGGAAGAGCGGCGGGGGGGGGGAGAGAGGCAGTGCGGTAGGGAAAGAGATGGTAGTACGACACCGACTCGTCAAACGTGACGTCCTGAGAGGACAGAACACGACGCGAGGTGGGGTGGTAGAACTGCCACCCGGGTGCGTCAAGAGGGAAGCCAAGGAAGACGCAGGGAACGGCACGGGAGGACAGCTTGTCCGCTGTAGTATCGCGGACAAAAGCTCGAGATCCCCAGACACGGAACGCGGACGCATCGCCAACCTTCCCCATCCACCGCAGAGTAGGTGTGGTCTCCGGCAAGGAGACACGAGGCTGAAGGTTGATATGATGCGCAGCGTACTGAACCGCGAACGGCCACAGAAAATGGGGAGCAGCCGCATGGATCATGGACGTACGAGCGACGTCCATGACCATGCCAATGCGGCGCTCAGCAATCCCATTTTGCTGCAGGGAGGCCGGAAGCGTGAACGTCTGGCGGATGCCCTCCGAACGACAGAAGGCTCTCAGGAGGTCGGAGGAAAACTCCCCACCTCTGTCTGAGTGCAGACGCAGAACAGGAAGGTCCGAGCCGAAACTCTCACTAAGCTGGCGACGAGCACCGCGGATCCAGTCGATCAACACCTCAGGGACCTCACCCTTGCTGCGCAAGGGGAAGACTGTGGTGTAACGCGAGTAGTCGTCAACGACCAGCAGGAAGTAACGCTCGAGACCGTGTCCACGGACGCGGGCTGGGCCCCACACGTCCATGTGAAGAGTCTGAAGAGGAGCCTCAGTCGGAGGGAACGAGGAGGAGTGAGGAGCGGCGCGCTGCCGGCCCTCGACACAAGGAACACAGGTGGGGGCAGGCCCCAGAGGAAGGGGAGGGAGGGACCTGGGGAGACCAGAGTGAAGGGCACTGGAGGCCATACCTCGAAGACGAGGCAGGGAGGGGTGACCAAGGCGGTGGTGCCAAAGGAGAGTCTCGTGCGACAGAGGACGACACAAGCAGGGGGCAGACGCAGGACTAGACCTGGACGCGGCAGCAAACACCTTACTAGACGCAGCTACCTGACCAGACGCAGGGACCGGAGGAGGCGCAGTAGTCAGTGTGTACTGACTCGACCCTGGCCGACGGGTGAACGTGGCCAGGTGGCGGCCCGTCCGAGAGCAAGTGCAGTGGGTCACACGCTGACCTCCAGGGGTGAACTGGTCAACCCACGCGTCCTGGAGGTCAGCTCCACTTACCAAGTTCGTAGAGAACGAGGGGAGGTGGAGTCCCGACAGCAAGCCCGACGGGGCCGCAGGACACGGTAGAACCGTGGAGGAGTGTGCAAGGACTGGGCCCCCTGACGGGTCAGCAAGGGAGACCGCAACAGGCCGACTGAGCGGCGTGAGCGTGGTGCTGTCTCTAAAGAAAGAGCGCGAAGCACCAGAGTCAAGTGTGAAAGTGTGCAAGGACTCAGTAGGTGCAGTACCGGAGAGAGCAGACGCACCAGCACCTGGAGTAGCAGACGCACCAGCACCTGGAGCAGCAGACGCACCAGCACCTAGAGCAGCAGTCGCACCAGTACCTGGAGCAGCAGACGCACTAGCACCTAGAGCAGCAGCCGCAATGCGCGGGTCGGGCGGGACACTCAGGTAACAGTCACCCTCAGCACTATCAGCAAGAGCATACATGGCAGCAAGGATAGCATCAAAATCTAGATCAAAGATAGGCACATTCTGCAGAAGCAGATCATGCCAGCGAGGGAGCTCAACGGCGTCAGGAAACTGGGTACGCCAAGCGTCAGTCAAGCGACCGAAGCAGCGCTGCGTGGTGTGTGGGAGCCCACACACCTCCCCACTACGAGTGCCGGTGCGAAGAACGTAAGTGCAGGGACCTGCACCCCCAGACCTCCCACGCCCAGCGTACCACTCACGAAGCTGCTGAACCGACGGGGTCTCACGGGTGCGCAGCTGCTGCTGGCGCTGGCTGCCACCAAAGCCTCCACGCTGCGCGGCTGCACCTCGACCAGCACCACCGCCGCCGCCACCTCCACCACCGCTGCCGCTGCCTCCACCACCTCCGCCACCGCCGCCACGACCTCCACCGCCGCCACGACCTCCACCGCCGCCACTGACGCCCCCACTCCCGGTACCACCCCCACCTCCACCGCCACCTCCACCTCCTCCACTGCTTCCCCCGCCGCCCCCTCCACCACCCTTGCTCCCCTTGCCCTTGCTGTTGCGGCATCTCCCACTAGGGGCAGACGCAGCTCCGACCTCCTCAGTGCCAACGAGGTCGACAGCAGCAGCAGAAGCAACAGAGGGGAGAAGGGGGACAGGGGAACACCCCTCAAAGAAGGGGGTGCGACGGTCGCCGCGAGAAGCACCTACAGCTAAGATACTGTCAGCAGTGGCAGCAAGAGCAGTGGAAACACCGGACGTGTGATCGAAAAGGGATACCCCATCCCTAGAATCACACTGAAGAAAGAGCTGTAGGTCGTCAACCCACACGTCAAAGTCAACTGCACGTCCCTCAGCATCAAAGGTGAGAACGGTAGGACTAGCCATAGCAGCAGTAGGAGCAGTAGCAAGAGTAGCAACAGTAGCAGCAGTAGCAGCAGTAGCAGCAGGGCAGTGCAAGGCAGTGCTGCTCGGTAGGGCAGTGCGGCTCGGTGGGGGCGGCGCGGCTCGTCTGAGCGGCGCGGCTCGGCTGGGCGGCTTGGCTCGGCTGGGCGGCGCGGCTCGGCTGGGCGGCGCGGCTCGGCTTACCAGAGACGGGTGCAGGGGCGGGCCGTGACTGCAGGGGCCGCGCCAGTAGGGGTCGGCAGGGGCTCGTCAGCAGGGGCCGGCAGGGGCGTGCCAGTAGGGGCGCGTCAGCAGGGGCCGGCAGAGGCGCGTCAGTAGGGGCCGGCAGGGGCGCGTCAGCAGGGGCCGGCAGAGGCGCGCCAGCAGGGGCCGCGCCAGCAGGGGCCGGCAGGGGCTCGTCAGCAGGGGCCGGCAGGGGCGCGCCAGTAGGGGCGCGTCAGCAGGGGCCGGCAGTGGCGCGTCAGCAGGGGCCGGCAGGGGCGCGCCAGCAGGGGCTGGTAGGGGCGCGCCAGCAGGGGCGCGTCAGCAGGGGCCGGAAGGGGCCGCGAAGAGCCGCTTAAGGGGCCGCGAAGAGCCGCTAAGGGGCCGCGAAGAGCCTCGGAGAGGGCCGCGAAGGGCCGTGGAGGGGCCGCGAAGGGCCGCGAAGGGCCGCGAAGGGCCGCGAAGGGGCCTCGAAGGGCCGCAAAACGGGCCGCGAAGGGCCGCGAGGGGCCGCGAAGGGCCGCGAGGGGCCGCGAAGGGCCGCGAAAGGGGCCGCGAAGGGCCGCGAAAGGGGCCGCGAAGGGCCGCGAAGGGGCCGCGAAGGGCCGTAAGAGGGGCCGCTAAGGGCCGCGAAGGGGCCGCGACGGGCCGCGAAAGGGGGGGGCCACGAAGGGCCTCGAAGGGCAGGCGCACGGGGCGCAGCTAGGACAAACGCGAAGCGCGCTTCGGGCAAGTAAGGAAAAAAAAAAGTTCGTAATGGTGGGCCCTTAAAAAAAACGGTCCCACTACGGAACCAGCTCTATACCATGTGAGAATAATGAGAGGAATGAATGAACTAGCAAGCAGGTGGGTACAAGTAGGAAACCTAAAAGTGTTGTACCCTATATGGACTACCCCACTACAACCTAGATAGACTATATCATATAAGTTTGACACCTCCTGCTCCTCGAAGGCTTCCGTGAAGTTATCGGAGGCTGCTGTGAGTACATCCATCTCGCCGATGAAGCATTCCCCTTTGTAAGTGATCTCCTCTATCACCGTTTGCGCCTTTCTCGACTCAACTCTCCCCGACAGAACCTTGGTTGGAAGTTCTCCAAGAACCTCCTGCTGCACCCCCGTCATAGTTTGCAGCCTTTCTCTCTCTCTTTCCTGGCATGCCTTCAACATGGACCCGTATTTCGTCAGCTGCTCGTAGCATGCTGCATCACCATCCCCATGCATGCAACCTCTTTAAGTAGTGGGTATTCACTGACAGTGTAGCTTCTTTATATTCCACAGAATTGCCACATACAACTTGATTTCAGGCGGGTGCAGTGGCCCCAGCTCGCAAAGCTTCCGAGACTGTCGGGATTGGTGGATCTGACATGTCCACCCTTGATGGCACTTTCGCTATACTCGCTATACGATATATAGACTTGCCGAAATCTACCACTACAGTGTTTGTCAAAACATTATTCCAAAACGAAACACCTTCATGCTGGACCACACCCTGCCCTCAGGAATTTCCCCACCCCACCCCACCCCCGAGCATCCGTGTGGTTCTCTGTCCCTCCCCTGCCATCAAAAGCCGAGAGATTCGCAGAGCAAGCTTTTCGCTTCTGTTGCTGATTCCCTTGGGATTTCCTTTTTCCACACAACTCCCAGTCCGTCCCTCTTCATCAGACACGTCACGTTTTCCGTCTGCAACCGCGGCGTAGCGTCCGTTATTCTGCCTCCGTCTGTCTGTAATACCTGTTGGCATTGGCCGTATTTGCAGTAGAGGAATCTCCCGCCGTTCGTCCGGACGCGGATCTGAATGACAGCAGTAACGTGGTTACCCGTCGCGAGCCCTGGTCGCAGTCAGTCGTGTTTATCGCCCGTGTCGGCTTGCATCGGTTTTTTTAGGAAAAGGCTTCGCGCAGCGAAAGTGAATCCTGTTGTATATTTCAAAAGCCGGGAAGCCGGGGAAGTAAGGAGAGGAGCGGTCGAGATTCTCAGTCGGCAAACGATATGTTTATTAATCCTCTCGGTGAAAGGGAGAAGTAGCCATTCTACGCCGCGGCTGTGGTTCCGTGTTTAGCGGATAGTTCAACCAGCTTATATCGAGACAGCGGTCTTATAACGAGTCACCCGGGTTGTAACGCGTATACATGGAAGCAAGTCGCGGGAGTTTTCAACTTTCCGGAAGGGGAAACTGCACGCGTGGCATTGATGGTGATTGTAACGCATCCGGAGATTCCGCAAGGATGAGCATAAACCATGCTGACGTGGAGACGAAAGAGCTAGGCGAAGAGAAGCGAACGAGGAAGGAGTCAGGGAGTAAAGGGCCGGAAAAAGGGGATCAAGAAGCAGAGAAAGGTGAGAAGGGAAGAAGGGAGAAAGGCGATAAAGGGGAGGCGGTGAAAGGCGATAAGGGGGAGACGATGAAAGGCGATAAAGGGGAGACGATGAAAGGTGATAAGGGGGAGACGTTGAAAGGCGATAAAGTGGAGGCGGTGAAAGGCGATAAAGGGGAGACAATGAAAGGTGATAAAGGGGAGACGATGAAAGGCGATATGGGGGAGAGAGAGGACAAGGATGAAAAGGGAACAAATTCGAAGGACGGGGGGAGAGGCGAAGAAGGGAAAGAGGGAGGGAAGGAAGGGATCGAAGGGAAGGTGATTGATATGGTGGGACTGGGAAAGGCAACGAGCGAAGGCGCTAGGAAGGAGAAGGAGACAGGCGAAAAGAAGGGGAAAGGAGGGGAGGATGAGGGAAAGGAGCGACGGGATACGAAGGAAGGGAAGGAGGAGAAGAAGATGGAGGAGCGAGGGAAAGGAGGGGAGAAGGAGGAGGAAAAGGATACGAAGGAAAATGGGAAGCAGCAAGAGGAGGATAGAAGGAAAGGGAAGGAGGAGAAGGAGAAAGGGGAGAAGATGGAGGAGGGGGAGGAGAAGGGGGGAAAGGACGGGAAGGAGGAGAAAGAGAAGAAGGAGAAGAGGGAGGAGGGGAAGGGAACGGGAGGGAAGGAGGATCTGCCGAAGGAAGGAAGGGAGACGAAGGCTATGAGCGAGGAGGGGGATGAGAAGAGAAAAGGGCACGAGGAAGAGCGGGGAGAGAAGAAAGAGAAGGGAGAGAAGAAGGAGGAGAGGGAAAAGGAGGAAATGAATCGTGGTGAGGTGAAGGGGGAGGGGAAACAGAAAGTGGGAAATGAAGAGGAGAGGAAAAAGGAGAACGAAGGGAACGAGGAGAATGTGAGAAAAGAGGAGGAGGAGGGAGAGATTGCTCCTGATGAGCACAACAAGGGGAAGGAGAAAGGAAGAGGCGTTGAAGTGGGGGAGGAAGGAGACATTGGGGAGGAAGAGAAGAATAAGGGTAAGGAGAAGGGGAAGGATAAGAGGGAGGAGAAGAGGGAGGAGAAGAGGGAGGGGGATGAACAAAAGAAGGAGAGGAGGAAAGAGAAGGATGGGGAGAGGAAGGAGAAGAAGGATGAAAAGAGGAAGGAAGGAAAGGACAAGGATGAGAAGAAGGAAGGGAAGGTGAAGGATGAGAAGAAAGAAGAGAAGGGGAAGGACGAGAAAGGAGAGGTGATTCGAGGCGAAGAGAGGACAGAGAAGAGGGAGAAGAGAGAAGGAGATGAAGAGGAGAGGAAGAAAGAGAGGAGAAAGAGGGATGAAAAGGACGAGGAGAGGCGGAAAGAGAGGAAGAGAGAGAGGAGGGAGGAAAAGAGAGCGGAGGAGAAAGGAGAGGGGAAGAGGAAGGAGAGGAAGACTGAGGAGGGACAGGATGTGAAGTCGAAAGAGAGGAAAGAAAAGAAGGAGAAGAGGGAGAAGGAAGAGAAGAGAGAGAAGGAAGAGAAGAGAGAGAAGAGGAGCGAGCAGCTTTTATTGAGCCCTGGACATTCAGGAAAAGGATCGGAGTTGAGAGTGAAGGGCTTGAAGAGCCCTGAGCACTGTGTAATGAGTCCGGATCAAGGAGCAAAGCCGTTAGACGGTGAGATGAAAAGCCCTGATGAGTTGAAAGGCTCAAAGGAGTTGAAAAGTCCAGAGGATTCAAAGAGCCTTGGCGAGTTACAGAGTCTTGAGGAGAAAAGGAGTCCTGGTGATCCAAAGAGCCCTGGTGGTGTAAAAAGTCCTGGCGAATCAAAGAGTCGCGGGGAAAACAATGTTTCTGGCGGCTTACAGAGTCCTGGAGGGGTGAAGAGTCCTGGGGGTTTTAAGAGTCCTGAGGAGGAGAAGAGGCGTGGGGAAGGAGTAAGGAGCCCTGTTGTGGGATTGAAGAAGGCAGAAAAGGCGGCCGAAAGTGCAATTGTGAGAGGGAGTCTTGATATGTCTGTGAATATGGATGGTTGCTCTAAAGGAAGCCCGGGTCCGTCTGTAGCGAGTATGGCCAGTCCTGGGGTGAATAGTGTGGAGGAGGGAGAGAGGAGGAGGAGTCTGGAGGGGCGGGGGGAGAAGAGTGAGGAAGGGAAGGAGGCGAGGAGGAAGAGGGAGGAAAAGGATAAGGAGGAGAAGGAGAGGAGGAGAGAGGGTAGGAAGGAGGGGAAGAGGGAGAAGGATGAGGCCAGGAGGAGGGAGGAGAGGAAGGAGAGGAAGAGGAAAGAGAAGAGGGATAGGAGGGAGGCGAGGAAAGGGGAAGGGAGGGAGGAGAACAAAGGGAAAGGGAAGGGGGGTGATGATGAGAAAGGAATTAGGGAAGGGGGAAGAGAAGAGGCGAGAGATGAAAAGAACGTGGGGGAGAAGGAGGGGTTGAAGGATAGTGACCAACGTAAGGAGGCGGATGGGCAAGTGAAGGAGGAGAGTAGGGAGGGGGTGAGAGGAGAGGAGCAAGGAGCGACGGTGGAGAGTAGGGGGGAGAAAGCAGAGGGGAAAGGAGGGACGGGGAAGGGCAAGGAGGAGAAAGAAGAGTCGAAGGAGAAAGCAGAGGGAAGGATGGGGGAAAGCAAGGAGGCGAAAGAAGAGGCGAAGGCAGTGGGGGAAGGAAGCGAGAAGGCAGATGAAGCAGAAGAGAAGGCAAAGGGGAAAGCAGCGGAAGCAGCAGTGGCGAATGCAGAGGAGGACGCTAAGGGAAACGCAGAGAAGGAAAAAGGAAAGGAGGAGAAACCAGAGAAGGAGAAAGGAAAGGAGGAGAAACCAGAGAAGGAGAAAGGAAAGGAGGAGAAACCAGAGAAGGAGAAAGCAGAGAAGGAGCAAGGAAAGGAGGGGAAAGCAGAGAAGAAAGGAAAGGAAGAGAAAGCAGAGAAAGGGAAAGGAAAAGAGGAGAAATCAAAGAAGGAAGCGCCAGAAGCAGTGGCTCGGCTGAACGAGATGAAAGGTTGCTGTGGGGAGCGTGGGAAGGAAGGGAAGGGGATGCGTGAACAGGAAGGCGAGGTGACTCGTGAGTCGACTCGAGAGGAAAAAGGGGAGCTTGGGCAGGAAGGCAAGGTGTGGTCAAAGGAAGCAGCAGCAGAGAAAGCAAGGGATGGGGATGGTGGGAAAAGAGATCATGGTGAATCGAAAGAAGGAGAGGCGTGGGCGAAGGGCACTGCAGTGCAAGCAAAGGATGGGGATGGACAGAAGCAAGAGTTGGCCAAAGATAAGGAAGGAATGGTATGTGCCAAAGAGGAGGTAGCGATGCTGAAATCAGCGGTTGGGGATAGGCACAATCAGGACAAACAGGAGCGCGCTGAACCAAAGGAGGAGAGCAAGGCGCATCGGAAGGGGATGGTCGATGTGACAGCGGCAGGGGAAAGAGGACAGGTTAAGGAAAAGGAGAAGGGAGAGGGTGGAGATGAGGTGAGGAGAGAGACAGGGAGAAACGAAGGGGAGCCGGGAGAGAGAGAAGAGGAGAAGAAGGAAGAGTCAGGAAATTCCTTATCAAATGCAGTATCCGGTGTGGCTGTGCCTATGACTCCAGTCATGGTTTCATCCCCTGAGGCAGCTGCTGGTGTTTCTGTCCCTGCTGCCACTCCTCCTGCTCCTGTTTCTGCTGCTGCTACAGACGCTACTGCCACCACAGCCGCTACAGCAGTGCAAACAGCTTGTTGCTCATCCCCTCCTAGAGCTAAGATTCCGCCTGTAACAGCTCTTGCAGCTACAGCTGCTACAGCCGCCACTGCTGCCACAGCTGCTACTACTGCTCCAGCTGCTGTTCCTGCTTCTGCCCCTGCCTCTGCTGCTGCACCTGCTGCTCTCTCTGCTGCTGCTCCTGCTGCTGCCCCTTCTCCTGTCTCTGCCTCTGCTGCCCCTTCTCCTGTCTCTGCTTCTGCCCCTGCAACTGTCCCTGCTTCTGCCCGTGCTTCTGCCCCTGCGTCTACCCCTGCTTCTGCCCCTGCGTCTACCCCTGCTTCTGCCCCTGCTTCTGCCCCTGCTTCTGCCCCTGCGTCTACCCCTGCTTCTGCCCCTGCTTCTGCCCCTGCGTCTACCCCTGCTTCTGCCCCTACTTCTGCCCTTGCTGCCACTTCTGCATCAATTTCGGCTGTTTCTGCGCCCTCCGTTGCTCCCAGTGTAGCTTCCACCCTTGCTACAGCTGCTACGTCTGCAAATCTCGCTACAGCTGCGACAGCTGCAGTGGCTGCTGCTGCTTCAATTCCTGCCACTGCTCCTGCTGCTTCTCCCACTGTGCCTGCTCCTTCTCCTGCTGCTGCTGCTCTTGCTCCTGCTCCTGCTGCTTCTTCTACTCCTCCCCATGCTGCCTCTGCTTTGGCCTCTGCTCTGCCTCCTCCTCATCCTCCTCCAGATGTGGCATATGCTGATGCTGCTGCGAAGATTGTTCCAACTGAAACCACCACCACCACCACTGCTGCTTCTGCTACAGATGTTACCCCTGCTAAAGCTTCCGCTGCTACTGCCACTGCTGCTACTGATATTACTGCTACAGAAGCCACCACTAGTAATGCTGCTGTTCCCACACCATCGTTTACATCTCCCCCCGCTGCTGCTACAACCGCCGCCAATCCCCCTGCTACAGCCACTGTCACTCCCCCCGCTACAGCCACCGCCACTCCCCTCACAGTCATTGTCACTCCTGCTACATCCATCAAGCCTCTTGCTACAGATTCCACTCCCTCAGCTACATCTCCCACCGTTCCTGCTACAGCTGCCACTCCTCTTCCCGGTTCAGTTGCCCCTGCTACAACCGTCAAGCCTCCTGCTACAGATTTCACTCCCCCAGCTACATCTCCCCCCCTTGCTTCGTCTGCCACTGTTCCTGCTACAGCTACTCCTGCTTCAACTGCCACCCCTCCTGCTACAGCTGCTTCCGTTCCTGCTGCATCCATCTCCCCTGCTACAGTTGCTACCGCTCCTGCTTCTTCTGCCACCATTCCTGCTACTGCTGCCACTATTCCTCCTGATACAGTTGCCATAGCTCCTGCTTCATCTGCCAAACCTCCTGCCACATCTGCTACCTCTCCTGCTACAGCTGTCACCCTCTTTACTACAGCTGCTACTGCTCCTGCTACAGCCGCCAGTGAGTCTGCCACATCTCTCCCCTCTCTCAAGCCAGCCGCCACCGCTCCTGCCACAGCTGCCAAACCTTCTCTTGCTTCAGCAGTCAGCCCTCCTGCTAAAGATGCCAGTGCTCCTGTCACATCTCCCAAGCTTTTTGAAACAGTTGCTATCTCTCCTGCTACAGCTGCCACTCTGCCTGCTACAGCTGCCAAACCTTCTGAAGGAGTTCCTATCCCTCCCGCTACAGCCGCCATCCCCCCTGCCACATCTGTCCCGCCTCCCAGTTCAGCTGCCACCACTCCTGCTACAGCCGCCACTGCTACAGCCACCATCTCCCCTGCTACAACCGCCACCTCTCCTGCTACAGCCGCCATCCCCCCTGTTACAGCCGCCATCACTCCTGCTACAACCACCATTCTCCCTGCTACAGCCGCCACCCCTCCCGCTCCAGCGGCAGCAGCAATACCACAAGGTACAAAGTCTGTGCCACAACAAGAAGCCATTCTCACAACAACAGGGGCACCAGCAGCAGCAGCTGAGGCAGCCACACTTGATTTAGCAGCAACAACAGCAGCAGAAGAAGCAGTTGAACCACCGCCAGCAGCAGCAAAAGAAGCAGCCGAGGCAGCAGCAGCAGCAGCAGCAGCAGCAGCAGCAGCAGCAGCAGCAGCAGCAGCGGCGGCGGCAAAGCTATCAGTTGACACAGCAGCAAAGCCAGCATTTGACACAGCAGCCACAACAGCAGACGCTACAGAAGTAGGCATGCCACAAGGTACAAAGGCTGAGACACAAGGAGCAGCTTTGGTGGCATCTGAAGCACCAGAAGCAGCAGCAGCAGCCGGGGTAGCCGTAGCAGCAGCAGCTGTAGATTGTGCTTCTGGTACTGCTGTTAAACTAGCACCTGAATCACTAGCAACTGAATCACTAGCAACTGAATCACTAGCAACTGAATCAATAGCAACTGAATCACTAGCAACAAGAACAACTGAGCCTATTGGGAAGGACTCAACCACAATCATCCCATTCCCAGGGAAGTCTCCCTGTCCCTCATCTCTTCCCTGTCCCTCATCTCTTCCCTGTCCCTCATCTCTTCCCTGTCCCTCATCTCTTCCCTGTCCGTCATCTCTTCCCTGTCCCTCATCTCTTCCCTGTCCCTCATCTCTTCCCTGTCCCTCCTCCGCCCACCCTCCCACTTCCCACCCTTCCATTTCCCACCTTCCCAAACCCGAATTTCCTCCCTCCCGTTCCTGTACCTCTCACTCCACCGCACCTGCCCCTGACCTTCCATCCAAACCTAATCTCGAAGCTTCTGAGAAACCCTCCGTCCCTCGCTCTGCCAAACCTGCGCTGGACCTCTCCTCCGAGCCTATTTCCGAGGCACCTAAAAAACCCTCTATCCCTCACTCAGCTGCGCCGGACCTCTCCTCCAAACCTATTACCGAGGCTCCTAGGAAATCATCCATCCCTAACTCAACCGCTCCTGTTCTCAACCTCTCAATAAGTTCTCCGCTCCTAGAGTCCCAGCCCCTTCCCAATGATTCGACACAAAATTCGACACAAGAGTTGACACACATTAAAACTCCTCTTTTGGAAGCTCAGGGCCTTCCTCTCGGAACTAGTGGAGAAATCCCCCGCCTGGCGTCTTTTGAGGCGCCTCAAAAATCATCTCAGGGTTTGCCTTTCGGCTTGACTCGAGAAATTCCCCGCCTGCCGTTTCACAGTTTGGCTTTTGGTTCGACTCAGGAAACGTCCCGGCAGGGGTCTCAGATCCCCCCTCTTGCCTCAACTCAGGAACCTTCCCGGAAGGAGCTGGCGCTAATTGACATGCCACCCCCGGTGCTGCCGACACGCCTGGACTCCTCGAGTCAGGAACCTTCCCAGCAAGAGCTGGCACTACATGATATGGCTCCCCCTGTGCTGCTGCTGCCGCCGCGCGTGCGTGTGTCGATCACTCTCACTCCGGAGGAGGTGGAGGAGGATTTCAGAGCAATCACGGGGCAACCACCACCCCAACTCCCTATGAAGAAGCGAAGGTGTGTGTTCCTTGGTTTATTCTGTGTAGTGTCTCTTGATTGCTTTCCTTGCTTCCCCCTGTGCTGCTGCTGCCGCCGCGCGTGCGTGTGTCGATCACTCTCACTCCGGAGGAGGTGGAGGAGGATTTCAGAGCAATCACGGGGCAACCACCACCCCAACTCCCTATGAAGAAGCGAAGGTGTGTGTTCCTTGGTTTATTCTGTGTAGTGTCTCTTGATTGCTTTCCTTGCTTCCCCCTGTGCTGCTGCTGCCGCCGCGCGTGCGTGTGTCGATCACTCTCACTCCGGAGGAGGTGGAGGAGGATTTCAGAGCAATCACGGGGCAACCACCACCCCAACTCCCTATGAAGAAGCGAAGGTGTGTGTTCCTTGGTTTATTCTGTGTAGTGTCTCTTGATTGCTTTCCTTGCTTCCCCCTGTGCTGCTGCTGCCGCCGCGCGTGCGTGTGTCGATCACTCTCACTCCGGAGGAGGTGGAGGAGGATTTCAGAGCAATCACGGGGCAACCACCACCCCAACTCCCTATGAAGAAGCGAAGGTGTGTGTTCCTTGGTTTATTCTGTGTAGTGTCTCTTGATTGCTTTCCTTGCTTCCCCCTGTGCTGCTGCTGCCGCCGCGCGTGCGTGTGTCGATCACTCTCACTCCGGAGGAGGTGGAGGAGGATTTCAGAGCAATCACGGGGCAACCACCACCCCAACTCCCTATGAAGAAGCGAAGGTGTGTGTTCCTTGGTTTATTCTGTGTAGTGTCTCTTGATTGCTTTCCTTGCTTCCCCCTGTGCTGCTGCTGCCGCCGCGCGTGCGTGTGTCGATCACTCTCACTCCGGAGGAGGTGGAGGAGGATTTCAGAGCAATCACGGGGCAACCACCACCCCAACTCCCTATGAAGAAGCGAAGGTGTGTGTTCCTTGGTTTATTCTGTGTAGTGTCTCTTGATTGCTTTCCTTGCTTCCCCCTGTGCTGCTGCTGCCGCCGCGCGTGCGTGTGTCGATCACTCTCACTCCGGAGGAGGTGGAGGAGGATTTCAGAGCAATCACGGGGCAACCACCACCCCAACTCCCTATGAAGAAGCGAAGGTGTGTGTTCCTTGGTTTATTCTGTGTAGTGTCTCTTGATTGCTTTCCTTGCTTCCCCCTGTGCTGCTGCTGCCGCCGCGCGTGCGTGTGTCGATCACTCTCACTCCGGAGGAGGTGGAGGAGGATTTCAGAGCAATCACGGGGCAACCACCACCCCAACTCCCTATGAAGAAGCGAAGGTGTGTGTTCCTTGGTTTATTCTGTGTAGTGTCTCTTGATTGCTTTCCTTGCTTCCCCCTGTGCTGCTGCTGCCGCCGCGCGTGCGTGTGTCGATCACTCTCACTCCGGAGGAGGTGGAGGAGGATTTCAGAGCAATCACGGGGCAACCACCACCCCAACTCCCTATGAAGAAGCGAAGGTGTGTGTTCCTTGGTTTATTCTGTGTAGTGTCTCTTGATTGCTTTCCTTGCTTCCCCCTGTGCTGCTGCTGCCGCCGCGCGTGCGTGTGTCGATCACTCTCACTCCGGAGGAGGTGGAGGAGGATTTCAGAGCAATCACGGGGCAACCACCACCCCAACTCCCTATGAAGAAGCGAAGGTGTGTGTTCCTTGGTTTATTCTGTGTAGTGTCTCTTGATTGCTTTCCTTGCTTCCCCCTGTGCTGCTGCTGCCGCCGCGCGTGCGTGTGTCGATCACTCTCACTCCGGAGGAGGTGGAGGAGGATTTCAGAGCAATCACGGGGCAACCACCACCCCAACTCCCTATGAAGAAGCGAAGGTGTGTGTTCCTTGGTTTATTCTGTGTAGTGTCTCTTGATTGCTTTCCTTGCTTCCCCCTGTGCTGCTGCTGCCGCCGCGCGTGCGTGTGTCGATCACTCTCACTCCGGAGGAGGTGGAGGAGGATTTCAGAGCAATCACGGGGCAACCACCACCCCAACTCCCTATGAAGAAGCGAAGGTGTGTGTTCCTTGGTTTATTCTGTGTAGTGTCTCTTGATTGCTTTCCTTGCTTCCCCCTGTGCTGCTGCTGCCGCCGCGCGTGCGTGTGTCGATCACTCTCACTCCGGAGGAGGTGGAGGAGGATTTCAGAGCAATCACGGGGCAACCACCACCCCAACTCCCTATGAAGAAGCGAAGGTGTGTGTTCCTTGGTTTATTCTGTGTAGTGTCTCTTGATTGCTTTCCTTGCTTCCCCCTGTGCTGCTGCTGCCGCCGCGCGTGCGTGTGTCGATCACTCTCACTCCGGAGGAGGTGGAGGAGGATTTCAGAGCAATCACGGGGCAACCACCACCCCAACTCCCTATGAAGAAGCGAAGGTGTGTGTTCCTTGGTTTATTCTGTGTAGTGTCTCTTGATTGCTTTCCTTGCTTCCCCCTGTGCTGCTGCTGCCGCCGCGCGTGCGTGTGTCGATCACTCTCACTCCGGAGGAGGTGGAGGAGGATTTCAGAGCAATCACGGGGCAACCACCACCCCAACTCCCTATGAAGAAGCGAAGGTGTGTGTTCCTTGGTTTATTCTGTGTAGTGTCTCTTGATTGCTTTCCTTGCTTCCCCCTGTGCTGCTGCTGCCGCCGCGCGTGCGTGTGTCGATCACTCTCACTCCGGAGGAGGTGGAGGAGGATTTCAGAGCAATCACGGGGCAACCACCACCCCAACTCCCTATGAAGAAGCGAAGGTGTGTGTTCCTTGGTTTATTCTGTGTAGTGTCTCTTGATTGCTTTCCTTGCTTCCCCCTGTGCTGCTGCTGCCGCCGCGCGTGCGTGTGTCGATCACTCTCACTCCGGAGGAGGTGGAGGAGGATTTCAGAGCAATCACGGGGCAACCACCACCCCAACTCCCTATGAAGAAGCGAAGGTGTGTGTTCCTTGGTTTATTCTGTGTAGTGTCTCTTGATTGCTTTCCTTGCTTCCCCCTGTGCTGCTGCTGCCGCCGCGCGTGCGTGTGTCGATCACTCTCACTCCGGAGGAGGTGGAGGAGGATTTCAGAGCAATCACGGGGCAACCACCACCCCAACTCCCTATGAAGAAGCGAAGGTGTGTGTTCCTTGGTTTATTCTGTGTAGTGTCTCTTGATTGCTTTCCTTGCTTCCCCCTGTGCTGCTGCTGCCGCCGCGCGTGCGTGTGTCGATCACTCTCACTCCGGAGGAGGTGGAGGAGGATTTCAGAGCAATCACGGGGCAACCACCACCCCAACTCCCTATGAAGAAGCGAAGGTGTGTGTTCCTTGGTTTATTCTGTGTAGTGTCTCTTGATTGCTTTCCTTGCTTCCCCCTGTGCTGCTGCTGCCGCCGCGCGTGCGTGTGTCGATCACTCTCACTCCGGAGGAGGTGGAGGAGGATTTCAGAGCAATCACGGGGCAACCACCACCCCAACTCCCTATGAAGAAGCGAAGGTGTGTGTTCCTTGGTTTATTCTGTGTAGTGTCTCTTGATTGCTTTCCTTGCTTCCCCCTGTGCTGCTGCTGCCGCCGCGCGTGCGTGTGTCGATCACTCTCACTCCGGAGGAGGTGGAGGAGGATTTCAGAGCAATCACGGGGCAACCACCACCCCAACTCCCTATGAAGAAGCGAAGGTGTGTGTTCCTTGGTTTATTCTGTGTAGTGTCTCTTGATTGCTTTCCTTGCTTCCCCCTGTGCTGCTGCTGCCGCCGCGCGTGCGTGTGTCGATCACTCTCACTCCGGAGGAGGTGGAGGAGGATTTCAGAGCAATCACGGGGCAACCACCACCCCAACTCCCTATGAAGAAGCGAAGGTGTGTGTTCCTTGGTTTATTCTGTGTAGTGTCTCTTGATTGCTTTCCTTGCTTCCCCCTGTGCTGCTGCTGCCGCCGCGCGTGCGTGTGTCGATCACTCTCACTCCGGAGGAGGTGGAGGAGGATTTCAGAGCAATCACGGGGCAACCACCACCCCAACTCCCTATGAAGAAGCGAAGGTGTGTGTTCCTTGGTTTATTCTGTGTAGTGTCTCTTGATTGCTTTCCTTGCTTCCCCCTGTGCTGCTGCTGCCGCCGCGCGTGCGTGTGTCGATCACTCTCACTCCGGAGGAGGTGGAGGAGGATTTCAGAGCAATCACGGGGCAACCACCACCCCAACTCCCTATGAAGAAGCGAAGGTGTGTGTTCCTTGGTTTATTCTGTGTAGTGTCTCTTGATTGCTTTCCTTGCTTCCCCCTGTGCTGCTGCTGCCGCCGCGCGTGCGTGTGTCGATCACTCTCACTCCGGAGGAGGTGGAGGAGGATTTCAGAGCAATCACGGGGCAACCACCACCCCAACTCCCTATGAAGAAGCGAAGGTGTGTGTTCCTTGGTTTATTCTGTGTAGTGTCTCTTGATTGCTTTCCTTGCTTCCCCCTGTGCTGCTGCTGCCGCCGCGCGTGCGTGTGTCGATCACTCTCACTCCGGAGGAGGTGGAGGAGGATTTCAGAGCAATCACGGGGCAACCACCACCCCAACTCCCTATGAAGAAGCGAAGGTGTGTGTTCCTTGGTTTATTCTGTGTAGTGTCTCTTGATTGCTTTCCTTGCTTCCCCCTGTGCTGCTGCTGCCGCCGCGCGTGCGTGTGTCGATCACTCTCACTCCGGAGGAGGTGGAGGAGGATTTCAGAGCAATCACGGGGCAACCACCACCCCAACTCCCTATGAAGAAGCGAAGGTGTGTGTTCCTTGGTTTATTCTGTGTAGTGTCTCTTGATTGCTTTCCTTGCTTCCCCCTGTGCTGCTGCTGCCGCCGCGCGTGCGTGTGTCGATCACTCTCACTCCGGAGGAGGTGGAGGAGGATTTCAGAGCAATCACGGGGCAACCACCACCCCAACTCCCTATGAAGAAGCGAAGGTGTGTGTTCCTTGGTTTATTCTGTGTAGTGTCTCTTGATTGCTTTCCTTGCTTCCCCCTGTGCTGCTGCTGCCGCCGCGCGTGCGTGTGTCGATCACTCTCACTCCGGAGGAGGTGGAGGAGGATTTCAGAGCAATCACGGGGCAACCACCACCCCAACTCCCTATGAAGAAGCGAAGGTGTGTGTTCCTTGGTTTATTCTGTGTAGTGTCTCTTGATTGCTTTCCTTGCTTCCCCCTGTGCTGCTGCTGCCGCCGCGCGTGCGTGTGTCGATCACTCTCACTCCGGAGGAGGTGGAGGAGGATTTCAGAGCAATCACGGGGCAACCACCACCCCAACTCCCTATGAAGAAGCGAAGGTGTGTGTTCCTTGGTTTATTCTGTGTAGTGTCTCTTGATTGCTTTCCTTGCTTCCCCCTGTGCTGCTGCTGCCGCCGCGCGTGCGTGTGTCGATCACTCTCACTCCGGAGGAGGTGGAGGAGGATTTCAGAGCAATCACGGGGCAACCACCACCCCAACTCCCTATGAAGAAGCGAAGGTGTGTGTTCCTTGGTTTATTCTGTGTAGTGTCTCTTGATTGCTTTCCTTGCTTCCCCCTGTGCTGCTGCTGCCGCCGCGCGTGCGTGTGTCGATCACTCTCACTCCGGAGGAGGTGGAGGAGGATTTCAGAGCAATCACGGGGCAACCACCACCCCAACTCCCTATGAAGAAGCGAAGGTGTGTGTTCCTTGGTTTATTCTGTGTAGTGTCTCTTGATTGCTTTCCTTGCTTCCCCCTGTGCTGCTGCTGCCGCCGCGCGTGCGTGTGTCGATCACTCTCACTCCGGAGGAGGTGGAGGAGGATTTCAGAGCAATCACGGGGCAACCACCACCCCAACTCCCTATGAAGAAGCGAAGGTGTGTGTTCCTTGGTTTATTCTGTGTAGTGTCTCTTGATTGCTTTCCTTGCTTCCCCCTGTGCTGCTGCTGCCGCCGCGCGTGCGTGTGTCGATCACTCTCACTCCGGAGGAGGTGGAGGAGGATTTCAGAGCAATCACGGGGCAACCACCACCCCAACTCCCTATGAAGAAGCGAAGGTGTGTGTTCCTTGGTTTATTCTGTGTAGTGTCTCTTGATTGCTTTCCTTGCTTCCCCCTGTGCTGCTGCTGCCGCCGCGCGTGCGTGTGTCGATCACTCTCACTCCGGAGGAGGTGGAGGAGGATTTCAGAGCAATCACGGGGCAACCACCACCCCAACTCCCTATGAAGAAGCGAAGGTGTGTGTTCCTTGGTTTATTCTGTGTAGTGTCTCTTGATTGCTTTCCTTGCTTCCCCCTGTGCTGCTGCTGCCGCCGCGCGTGCGTGTGTCGATCACTCTCACTCCGGAGGAGGTGGAGGAGGATTTCAGAGCAATCACGGGGCAACCACCACCCCAACTCCCTATGAAGAAGCGAAGGTGTGTGTTCCTTGGTTTATTCTGTGTAGTGTCTCTTGATTGCTTTCCTTGCTTCCCCCTGTGCTGCTGCTGCCGCCGCGCGTGCGTGTGTCGATCACTCTCACTCCGGAGGAGGTGGAGGAGGATTTCAGAGCAATCACGGGGCAACCACCACCCCAACTCCCTATGAAGAAGCGAAGGTGTGTGTTCCTTGGTTTATTCTGTGTAGTGTCTCTTGATTGCTTTCCTTGCTTCCCCCTGTGCTGCTGCTGCCGCCGCGCGTGCGTGTGTCGATCACTCTCACTCCGGAGGAGGTGGAGGAGGATTTCAGAGCAATCACGGGGCAACCACCACCCCAACTCCCTATGAAGAAGCGAAGGTGTGTGTTCCTTGGTTTATTCTGTGTAGTGTCTCTTGATTGCTTTCCTTGCTTCCCCCTGTGCTGCTGCTGCCGCCGCGCGTGCGTGTGTCGATCACTCTCACTCCGGAGGAGGTGGAGGAGGATTTCAGAGCAATCACGGGGCAACCACCACCCCAACTCCCTATGAAGAAGCGAAGGTGTGTGTTCCTTGGTTTATTCTGTGTAGTGTCTCTTGATTGCTTTCCTTGCTTCCCCCTGTGCTGCTGCTGCCGCCGCGCGTGCGTGTGTCGATCACTCTCACTCCGGAGGAGGTGGAGGAGGATTTCAGAGCAATCACGGGGCAACCACCACCCCAACTCCCTATGAAGAAGCGAAGGTGTGTGTTCCTTGGTTTATTCTGTGTAGTGTCTCTTGATTGCTTTCCTTGCTTCCCCCTGTGCTGCTGCTGCCGCCGCGCGTGCGTGTGTCGATCACTCTCACTCCGGAGGAGGTGGAGGAGGATTTCAGAGCAATCACGGGGCAACCACCACCCCAACTCCCTATGAAGAAGCGAAGGTGTGTGTTCCTTGGTTTATTCTGTGTAGTGTCTCTTGATTGCTTTCCTTGCTTCCCCCTGTGCTGCTGCTGCCGCCGCGCGTGCGTGTGTCGATCACTCTCACTCCGGAGGAGGTGGAGGAGGATTTCAGAGCAATCACGGGGCAACCACCACCCCAACTCCCTATGAAGAAGCGAAGGTGTGTGTTCCTTGGTTTATTCTGTGTAGTGTCTCTTGATTGCTTTCCTTGCTTCCCCCTGTGCTGCTGCTGCCGCCGCGCGTGCGTGTGTCGATCACTCTCACTCCGGAGGAGGTGGAGGAGGATTTCAGAGCAATCACGGGGCAACCACCACCCCAACTCCCTATGAAGAAGCGAAGGTGTGTGTTCCTTGGTTTATTCTGTGTAGTGTCTCTTGATTGCTTTCCTTGCTTCCCCCTGTGCTGCTGCTGCCGCCGCGCGTGCGTGTGTCGATCACTCTCACTCCGGAGGAGGTGGAGGAGGATTTCAGAGCAATCACGGGGCAACCACCACCCCAACTCCCTATGAAGAAGCGAAGGTGTGTGTTCCTTGGTTTATTCTGTGTAGTGTCTCTTGATTGCTTTCCTTGCTTCCCCCTGTGCTGCTGCTGCCGCCGCGCGTGCGTGTGTCGATCACTCTCACTCCGGAGGAGGTGGAGGAGGATTTCAGAGCAATCACGGGGCAACCACCACCCCAACTCCCTATGAAGAAGCGAAGGTGTGTGTTCCTTGGTTTATTCTGTGTAGTGTCTCTTGATTGCTTTCCTTGCTTCCCCCTGTGCTGCTGCTGCCGCCGCGCGTGCGTGTGTCGATCACTCTCACTCCGGAGGAGGTGGAGGAGGATTTCAGAGCAATCACGGGGCAACCACCACCCCAACTCCCTATGAAGAAGCGAAGGTGTGTGTTCCTTGGTTTATTCTGTGTAGTGTCTCTTGATTGCTTTCCTTGCTTCCCCCTGTGCTGCTGCTGCCGCCGCGCGTGCGTGTGTCGATCACTCTCACTCCGGAGGAGGTGGAGGAGGATTTCAGAGCAATCACGGGGCAACCACCACCCCAACTCCCTATGAAGAAGCGAAGGTGTGTGTTCCTTGGTTTATTCTGTGTAGTGTCTCTTGATTGCTTTCCTTGCTTCCCCCTGTGCTGCTGCTGCCGCCGCGCGTGCGTGTGTCGATCACTCTCACTCCGGAGGAGGTGGAGGAGGATTTCAGAGCAATCACGGGGCAACCACCACCCCAACTCCCTATGAAGAAGCGAAGGTGTGTGTTCCTTGGTTTATTCTGTGTAGTGTCTCTTGATTGCTTTCCTTGCTTCCCCCTGTGCTGCTGCTGCCGCCGCGCGTGCGTGTGTCGATCACTCTCACTCCGGAGGAGGTGGAGGAGGATTTCAGAGCAATCACGGGGCAACCACCACCCCAACTCCCTATGAAGAAGCGAAGGTGTGTGTTCCTTGGTTTATTCTGTGTAGTGTCTCTTGATTGCTTTCCTTGCTTCCCCCTGTGCTGCTGCTGCCGCCGCGCGTGCGTGTGTCGATCACTCTCACTCCGGAGGAGGTGGAGGAGGATTTCAGAGCAATCACGGGGCAACCACCACCCCAACTCCCTATGAAGAAGCGAAGGTGTGTGTTCCTTGGTTTATTCTGTGTAGTGTCTCTTGATTGCTTTCCTTGCTTCCCCCTGTGCTGCTGCTGCCGCCGCGCGTGCGTGTGTCGATCACTCTCACTCCGGAGGAGGTGGAGGAGGATTTCAGAGCAATCACGGGGCAACCACCACCCCAACTCCCTATGAAGAAGCGAAGGTGTGTGTTCCTTGGTTTATTCTGTGTAGTGTCTCTTGATTGCTTTCCTTGCTTCCCCCTGTGCTGCTGCTGCCGCCGCGCGTGCGTGTGTCGATCACTCTCACTCCGGAGGAGGTGGAGGAGGATTTCAGAGCAATCACGGGGCAACCACCACCCCAACTCCCTATGAAGAAGCGAAGGTGTGTGTTCCTTGGTTTATTCTGTGTAGTGTCTCTTGATTGCTTTCCTTGCTTCCCCCTGTGCTGCTGCTGCCGCCGCGCGTGCGTGTGTCGATCACTCTCACTCCGGAGGAGGTGGAGGAGGATTTCAGAGCAATCACGGGGCAACCACCACCCCAACTCCCTATGAAGAAGCGAAGGTGTGTGTTCCTTGGTTTATTCTGTGTAGTGTCTCTTGATTGCTTTCCTTGCTTCCCCCTGTGCTGCTGCTGCCGCCGCGCGTGCGTGTGTCGATCACTCTCACTCCGGAGGAGGTGGAGGAGGATTTCAGAGCAATCACGGGGCAACCACCACCCCAACTCCCTATGAAGAAGCGAAGGTGTGTGTTCCTTGGTTTATTCTGTGTAGTGTCTCTTGATTGCTTTCCTTGCTTCCCCCTGTGCTGCTGCTGCCGCCGCGCGTGCGTGTGTCGATCACTCTCACTCCGGAGGAGGTGGAGGAGGATTTCAGAGCAATCACGGGGCAACCACCACCCCAACTCCCTATGAAGAAGCGAAGGTGTGTGTTCCTTGGTTTATTCTGTGTAGTGTCTCTTGATTGCTTTCCTTGCTTCCCCCTGTGCTGCTGCTGCCGCCGCGCGTGCGTGTGTCGATCACTCTCACTCCGGAGGAGGTGGAGGAGGATTTCAGAGCAATCACGGGGCAACCACCACCCCAACTCCCTATGAAGAAGCGAAGGTGTGTGTTCCTTGGTTTATTCTGTGTAGTGTCTCTTGATTGCTTTCCTTGCTTCCCCCTGTGCTGCTGCTGCCGCCGCGCGTGCGTGTGTCGATCACTCTCACTCCGGAGGAGGTGGAGGAGGATTTCAGAGCAATCACGGGGCAACCACCACCCCAACTCCCTATGAAGAAGCGAAGGTGTGTGTTCCTTGGTTTATTCTGTGTAGTGTCTCTTGATTGCTTTCCTTGCTTCCCCCTGTGCTGCTGCTGCCGCCGCGCGTGCGTGTGTCGATCACTCTCACTCCGGAGGAGGTGGAGGAGGATTTCAGAGCAATCACGGGGCAACCACCACCCCAACTCCCTATGAAGAAGCGAAGGTGTGTGTTCCTTGGTTTATTCTGTGTAGTGTCTCTTGATTGCTTTCCTTGCTTCCCCCTGTGCTGCTGCTGCCGCCGCGCGTGCGTGTGTCGATCACTCTCACTCCGGAGGAGGTGGAGGAGGATTTCAGAGCAATCACGGGGCAACCACCACCCCAACTCCCTATGAAGAAGCGAAGGTGTGTGTTCCTTGGTTTATTCTGTGTAGTGTCTCTTGATTGCTTTCCTTGCTTCCCCCTGTGCTGCTGCTGCCGCCGCGCGTGCGTGTGTCGATCACTCTCACTCCGGAGGAGGTGGAGGAGGATTTCAGAGCAATCACGGGGCAACCACCACCCCAACTCCCTATGAAGAAGCGAAGGTGTGTGTTCCTTGGTTTATTCTGTGTAGTGTCTCTTGATTGCTTTCCTTGCTTCCCCCTGTGCTGCTGCTGCCGCCGCGCGTGCGTGTGTCGATCACTCTCACTCCGGAGGAGGTGGAGGAGGATTTCAGAGCAATCACGGGGCAACCACCACCCCAACTCCCTATGAAGAAGCGAAGGTGTGTGTTCCTTGGTTTATTCTGTGTAGTGTCTCTTGATTGCTTTCCTTGCTTCCCCCTGTGCTGCTGCTGCCGCCGCGCGTGCGTGTGTCGATCACTCTCACTCCGGAGGAGGTGGAGGAGGATTTCAGAGCAATCACGGGGCAACCACCACCCCAACTCCCTATGAAGAAGCGAAGGTGTGTGTTCCTTGGTTTATTCTGTGTAGTGTCTCTTGATTGCTTTCCTTGCTTCCCCCTGTGCTGCTGCTGCCGCCGCGCGTGCGTGTGTCGATCACTCTCACTCCGGAGGAGGTGGAGGAGGATTTCAGAGCAATCACGGGGCAACCACCACCCCAACTCCCTATGAAGAAGCGAAGGTGTGTGTTCCTTGGTTTATTCTGTGTAGTGTCTCTTGATTGCTTTCCTTGCTTCCCCCTGTGCTGCTGCTGCCGCCGCGCGTGCGTGTGTCGATCACTCTCACTCCGGAGGAGGTGGAGGAGGATTTCAGAGCAATCACGGGGCAACCACCACCCCAACTCCCTATGAAGAAGCGAAGGTGTGTGTTCCTTGGTTTATTCTGTGTAGTGTCTCTTGATTGCTTTCCTTGCTTCCCCCTGTGCTGCTGCTGCCGCCGCGCGTGCGTGTGTCGATCACTCTCACTCCGGAGGAGGTGGAGGAGGATTTCAGAGCAATCACGGGGCAACCACCACCCCAACTCCCTATGAAGAAGCGAAGGTGTGTGTTCCTTGGTTTATTCTGTGTAGTGTCTCTTGATTGCTTTCCTTGCTTCCCCCTGTGCTGCTGCTGCCGCCGCGCGTGCGTGTGTCGATCACTCTCACTCCGGAGGAGGTGGAGGAGGATTTCAGAGCAATCACGGGGCAACCACCACCCCAACTCCCTATGAAGAAGCGAAGGTGTGTGTTCCTTGGTTTATTCTGTGTAGTGTCTCTTGATTGCTTTCCTTGCTTCCCCCTGTGCTGCTGCTGCCGCCGCGCGTGCGTGTGTCGATCACTCTCACTCCGGAGGAGGTGGAGGAGGATTTCAGAGCAATCACGGGGCAACCACCACCCCAACTCCCTATGAAGAAGCGAAGGTGTGTGTTCCTTGGTTTATTCTGTGTAGTGTCTCTTGATTGCTTTCCTTGCTTCCCCCTGTGCTGCTGCTGCCGCCGCGCGTGCGTGTGTCGATCACTCTCACTCCGGAGGAGGTGGAGGAGGATTTCAGAGCAATCACGGGGCAACCACCACCCCAACTCCCTATGAAGAAGCGAAGGTGTGTGTTCCTTGGTTTATTCTGTGTAGTGTCTCTTGATTGCTTTCCTTGCTTCCCCCTGTGCTGCTGCTGCCGCCGCGCGTGCGTGTGTCGATCACTCTCACTCCGGAGGAGGTGGAGGAGGATTTCAGAGCAATCACGGGGCAACCACCACCCCAACTCCCTATGAAGAAGCGAAGGTGTGTGTTCCTTGGTTTATTCTGTGTAGTGTCTCTTGATTGCTTTCCTTGCTTCCCCCTGTGCTGCTGCTGCCGCCGCGCGTGCGTGTGTCGATCACTCTCACTCCGGAGGAGGTGGAGGAGGATTTCAGAGCAATCACGGGGCACTTCGAAACTGACACACAAATATCAAATCAAACTCTTTTCCCCTTGTTTGTTTTCTTGTATGCTCAAGAGATTGGAGGTGGAAAACGGGTGGGTCGGGGTAGCCCCCGCAGGCATGGATGATGAGTTGCTGCTGTGAATCCTGCTCGTTGCGACTTTTGAGTCGACTCAAAAGTCACCTCATCACCTGCAGACATGGATGAGTTGTTGCTGGTGAATCCTGCTGATTGCACCCGTCCCCTACTTACCCCCCCCCCTCTCTCTTGATCTCCCTTTTCTCTCTACTCCACAGGAAACTGGAGGCGGCAAACGGGTGGGTCGGGGTATCACCTGCCGGCATGGATGAATTACTACCTCTTGCAGCAGAACCTTCTGAGAAGCTTCCTCTCCCAAGCAGCAGCAACAGCAGGGGTATGCAGCAGCCGGGTATGGAACCGTCTTCTGTGCCTTTCAATCGGCCTTTTGACTCGAAACTTGAAGAGCCGAGGGGAGAATTCGAGGATAGAAAGGTTGGCCTGGTGCCGCCGCTGCTGTTACGGCCTGTGGTGGTGGCAGAAGAGAATTATTTGATTGGCAATGGCTTGCCTGGGGTGCAAGCTGATTTCAGTGATCGAAAGGACGGGCTTGGCTTGGTGGTTGAAAGGAAGGAGACTGGTTGGCAGTCTTTGAAGCCTCTCCTTTCCTTACCTCCCACGTCGCTTCTCCATCCTCCCACGGTGTTTTCGGGGCTGGAGAAAATGCAAGAGAAAGAGATGGAGAAAGAGAAGGAGGGGTATGGTAAGGGTGAAATGGCTGCTGCTGCTGCTGCTGCTGCTGCTGCTGCGGCTGCTGGTGGTGGTGGTAATGCTGTTTTTGGTGATGCTGCTTCTGCTGCTGCTCATGCTGCTAATGGTGCGTTGGGTTTGCAAGTTGACAGTTTAGGGCTGAGACTTGAGGAGAGGAATGGTGGAAGAGAAGGAGAGGAGGTGGGAGAGGGGGAGAGGGAGAGGGCGAGTGCAGGAGGCGTGGGGAAGAAGGAGAAGGGGGTGGAAGTAGAGGGGGGTGGGAAAAGGGACAAGGAGGGGAAGAAGAAAAAGAAGAAGAGGCATGAGAAGGATCGAGAGGGGAGAGGGGTGGAGAAAGGCGAGGAGAGAAGGGAGGGTAAGGGAGAGGGTAAGGTTGAAGGGAGGAAGGAAGAGAAGGGGGAGAGCAAGAGAGAAGGGAAGCATGACGGGGAGGAGAGGAGGGAGAAGAAGCTGAAGAAGCATGGGAGAGTGGAGGGAGGGGAGGAGAGGAGGGAAGGTAGATCGGCAGAGGAGGAAGAAGGCAGGTTGAGAATTTCTGCAGGAGCAGCAGGAGCAGAAACAGGAGGAGAAGGAGGGGCAGCAGGCAGAGGTGCTGGTTTGGTGAGAGAGGATCAGGAGGAACAGGAGATGGAAAAGAGAAGAGAGGAAGAGAGAGGGGAGAAGGAGAGAACAGAGAGGGAGAGAGAGGAGAAGGGTAAACATAAGACGAAAGAGAGGGAGAGGGAGAGGGACAGGGAGAGGGAAAAAGAGAGGGAGAGGGACAAGGAGAAGGAGAGAGAGAAGGAGAAAGAAAGGCGACTTGTGGATGTGGATAGGCCAATGCTTGCAGCTATGGGGACCGAGAAGCAAGCAGAGGGGCAGAGGGAGAAGGAGGAGAGGGACGAGGAGGAGGAGGAGAATGGGGAGGAGGAAGAGAGAGATGGGGAGAAGAGGAGAGGAGGAGTTGGGATTTGGCAAAATCCGGACAAGATCCGATTTGATTCTCTGGTGAGGAGGGATAGACGGGAATCGATTGCGAAAAGACGGATGGAGGAACAGAGGAGAGAGGGGGCAGGCGAGCAGGGGAGTGGAGACGCTAGGGGAGGAGAGTGGGAGAGGGACGGTGGAGAGGAGAAGGGCGAGAGAGGGGAGAGGGAGAGGCGAAGGAGAGGGAAGGAGCGAGTGGAGGGAGGTTCGGGAGAAGGCTCGGATGAAGACTCGGAAGAGGATTTCCCTGGGGATTACAGGGAGGGACAGGCTCGGATGAGAAGAAAAGAGGCTCGGAAACGAAAGAGGATGTTTGGGGAGTTTGGGAATGGGGAGGATGGGGAGGAGGATGATGGGATGGGGATGGGAGAGGATGAGGAGGAGGAAGAGAGAGGGGTGGGTGGATCTGAGTGGTTCCTAGGAGGGTTATCGGGGGGACTAGGGGCAACGGGATTAGGGGCATTTGCAAATTCTTCCACTTCTGCTTCTGCCGCAGCAGCTGGGTCTGCAGGGGAAGGACCAGGGGGAGGAGCAGGGGGAGGATCAGGGGGAGCACCAGGGTCAGTACCCAAGAGGCGACGAAGCTCACGAATAGCAGAGAGGGTAGAAAAAAGAACATGGCGGTCCATGGATCTAGGCTGGGTGGCCGGTGCTGCTGCTGCTGCCGCCGCCGCAGCAGCAGCTGCTGCATCTGCTGCCGGTTCTGCCGGTGGTGGTGGTGGTGGAGGGCATAACGCGAGTTCTAGGGGAGGGAGGAAAGGTGCAGGGGTGGGTGTGCCGGCTTTCAGGCACCCGGGGATGCCGGGAGTTATGGTTATGATTCCACCGGCGGAAATCGTATCGGATTTTGTACAGATCACAGGGAATCCGCCTCCGCCGCCCAAGAAGGGGTACCGCTACTGGCGGAACTTCATCCCTTTCCAGGTACGGTCACAGAGAGCTTCCTGTTTGGAATCAGATTCTATTGCATTTGCTTGAGTCCATGTAACAGTCGGCCAAGAAGAAGATAACCACATTTTTTAAAGAAGTACCTGTACTGGCGGAACTTCATCCCTTCCCTCACTCCACGACTGGTGTGAGAGGCTTGGGGGCTAAGGTAGCCTCTTGCAGAGTAATGAAGGATTCGAAACGCAGCAAGCCGTGTAGCTCGGGGGCTAAAGGGATGAATGGATAACTACATTCTTGAATACCCACTTGCCTTCGCCCCTCCCTCCCTTCCCTCCTTCCCTCCCTCCCTTCCCTCCTTCCCTCCCTTCCCTGCAACCACCAGTGCTTGGACGGACTACCCAAGGGCCACAACCGGGCTAAGGGCTACCCGTGGCCTCTCGTTCCCAAGACATGAGCCAAGGGCACAGTTTGCTAAAGGCTTGTTTGGTTTGCTAGAAACGCTCTCTTGTCTCCCTCCCCCCTCCTTCCCTGTAACCACCAGTGCTTGGACGGACTACCCAAGGGCCACGACCGGGCTAAGGGCTACCCGTGGCCTCTCGTTCCCAAGACATGACCCAAGGGCACAGTTTGCTAAAGGCTTGTTTGGTTTGCTAGAAACGCTCTCTTGTCTCCCTTCCCCCCCCTTCCCTGTAACCACCAGTGCTGGGACGGACTACCCAAGGGCCACGACTGGGCTAAGGGTTGATTGCATCCAATTCAATACCCTCTTGCCTTCGCCCTTCCCTCCCTCCCCCCTTCCTCCCCCTTCCCTGCAACCGCCAGTGCTTGGACGGGCTACCCAAGGGCCACGACTGGGCCAAGGGTTACCCGTGGCCTCTCGTTCCCAAGACATGAGCCAAAAGGGCTGTTAACGGGAAGCCTGGTCTGTTGGAGACATGTTCGAAAGGGGCATGCTCATTAGAAGCCATGGATGGATGGGTTACCATACCATTAGAAGCCATGGCTGGAAGGGGTTACCATAACCTTAAAGTGTACATGAATACCCACACAAGTACACGGTGTTGAGACACTTCAAAGCATCAGTGCTGTGGTAGTGTTCGAAAGTTTGCATGTGCGGTTTCAGATTGTTTATTTGAGCTGAGACTACTGTAATACGCATTCATACACATAGTGAGGTCAGGATGGTGTTCCTCGCTAAGTTTGGGTTATTGTGTGGCTGGTAGTAAGGTGCAGACACATGGATCCACCTTGCTATGGCTTTGCAGACACGGGATCTTTAGCTGAGCGGGATTGCTAACTTGTCCATGAACAGGGGTGTTTTTGAATTACCAGCAACAACTGGCACATCAACCTCCACTGAGACCTGCTTAGTTCTCATGCAACTATACAGTCTGTAAACGGACACATACAGTAAGTGAAAGCAAGTCTCGATGCTATGGCTGGTCATGTAGCGCACTTTTGCCAATTCAATTAATGATAACAATACAAAGGAACAAGCTCGGCACGTTTAAACGAACTGAGCAACCCTGAAAAAAAGGAATTAAATCTTGAAACGTATATTGAATGCCCTATACATCGAGTCAACCCCAAAATCACTGAACAGGAAGAGCCCAGCGATATGCCTCTTCGGTCGCCTCCACCAAGGATCGCCGCTCCTGAATCCACGCATGAACGTGCTCCAAGAACGTCTTATTCGCCGGTCTCTCTCGTCTCGGAACGTAAGTCGCCGCTGCGCGAGCGTCGAACGACTCAATCGCCTCCCCCATGGCCAATCCGGGCGTGTGATCCATCCCTGCGAAGTACGCGACAGCCGTGAACTTCACTTCTAGGTTACCCCCCTCCCGTAAATGGCAGTATTTCCTGTCCATTTGATAGTCGTCCCTAACCTCGACGTCGGATAGGGAAAGCGGTAGCCGCACGTAGTGACCACGGTCGATACCTTCAAGAATATCCAGTCTGGCGACCGCTTTCTCATTAACTTCGTAAATCTCTCCAAAGACGCGGTGACCGTTGCCCGGGAGACGTAGAAGAAAAGGAACTTGAAACGGGCCGCATACAAGAGGGTAATTCTGGACGGTCCGAGCAGTTCCTATCCGGATGGCGTCGCCAGATTGCATCAGCTCCTGCATAAGCCAGTGGTTGCTGAAACCCTCTTTTAATGTGCCGTAGACGAACGCCACGGAGTGACCTTCTCTCGGGAAAGGCAGGTCGGATGTTTCCTCTGGTGCGTGTTCCAGGAGATCTGGAGCCGACATTGACGAGTGACTCCTCATGGCCTCCATTATGAAGTTACAATATGCAGCAAACACTTGCTTATCTGGTGTCGAAACGGGAAGGAGTCTGCTGCTGGCTTAGACGATTCACGCTGACAGTAGTTTCGAAAATGAAGAAGGAACGAAACTCGTAGCCGCTACGTTGAGCTCCTAATTGTTTCTCTATTTGCTCCGCAATAACATGCAAGGAAGCTTGGAAGTTGAACTGAGTGTGTCAGAAGCAATCAAGCTAGTGGCTACTAATAATGGCAGGCTGGTTGAAGAGAGCGGGAGAATGCATGCATTTGTAGTGGTGGGTCGTGAATCACGGGACCACGAGTGAGACTCACCAAACCGCCCACCGCTCCTCACCTCTACAGATCTCGTATAACCGGAATCAACTCCAGTGGCGTGTGTGTTCGTGACCGGCTCTTCCCAGTTCCAGCGAGGCATCATCCTCCAACAGACCTCTTCCCCCTCCCCCATCTTGCCCCTTTCTCCACACGACACCAGGCTGGTTTGGTGGTGAACGGGTGATGTGAGGTGAGGCGAACCAGCTGCAGGTGTGAGGAAGCTCTTGAGTCTCGACCGTCCGATGAACGAGAAATCGAGATCCAACGGGCATTGTAACAGTCAGATGATCACCAACATGAGACTTTCCCAGCCGCCACTAATGTGGAGGTACGTGCATTCACGAAGCTGACGAGGCTTGGTGGTAACGTCACAGAGGCTCCAAATCTCAAGGGGAACTCCGCGTCGCAGCACTTCGTGCAACAACCAGCGCAACTCACACGGATTAAGGATGACGACGGCATCAAAATCGGCTTCTGGTTGGTCGAAAGGCCACCCTTTCGCAAGCTTGGAAAGTTTAGTGACGAATCAAAAATGCAAAACCGTCGATATGTTGACACATGGACATAATCGAAGGCACATCTTTTGATCGATCTGCTTGTTTCAGTGATGTTGGAACCTCGAGTCGCGTCTGTTCTGAGCCGCCAAGCGCCGAAAGCATCGCTGACACCGTTAGATCTGCTATTGAATTGCTGGGTTGGTGACAACGAAAGATCCCGCTTTTATGCAATATTTATTCTTCATTTGAATTCAGAATGTGAATGCACAGTGAATATCAAGTGTAGCAAGTAAATAGAGTCGTTTGTGGTATACCACCAGCTCATAGAGAGTCTCCTTCCCTGGCTTGGATCAGGTGCTGAGGAATGCTCTGGAATTCTGATGAGCGACCCGCTCGCTCTTTTCCTGAAGGAGAAAGGGCTTCTCAGACTAAGCCTCCATACACCCGAGCAACTATGAAGGCCTTAACGTTTATTAACATATTTTCTTCTCCCAGCTCGTACGTTCAAGCTTTGACATCTGATATGAAGTCCGGAACCACAGTTTTTTCCGTGCGGTATGTAATGGCACGAGGGGTCTCTGTGAGTAATGTGGTTGAGAATGTCTGATGAGCTCGTTGCTTGCAGCTGCAGGAGTTGTATTTGCCTATGTTCTTCGCGCAATGTCCCGTATTTGTTGTCTCGTCGATTTGCACTCGAATTCAAGGTTCGAGGTTTCGGCATACCACCCACAAACCACTGCCATCCATGATATTGAATGGTTGAGGTGTGCAAGACCATGGCCAGGTGACTGGAAGGACAACAAGATTCCGTAACTAGAGGCAGTCTTTTGGCTCGGTGATGACACTGTGACCTGACGATAGGAAGTGCCGTCTGATGCGACGTCTGACCGTCAGAACTCGCCTCCACGCCGTCAAGGTAGCCGGCCACTGCAGAGCACAGGCATCCAAACCCTTGCCCAATCCTGACCGTTCATTCAGCAGCAATCAAGCCATGGATTTGGCTCGCTTGCTGGGTGTAATGTGAGGGAGGACGGCTTTCTGGGTGAGGCTCTGCCTAGTGCCGCTGGGGTGGGCTTCTTGCAAGTGGAGTGCAATCTGATTGGTTGGTCCGAGCAGTTGACTACACACAGGCTGCTGAGAGCCATTGAACCTGATTTCGGAAAATCCTGATTTCGGTTACACACTTTCTTACGGAAAATCCTGATTTCGGTTCGGAAAGCGAAAGCTTTTCATTGTGCTGTGGTTGTCTACGTCGTTTGATGTTCTGCATCTGTATCTAAGATACAAGAACTAGAGCTCCTTGCTTGGGGCCTAATTCTAGGCTTGTGTGTATCCTGGTTTCGCCAGAAAGCCCTTATCAGCAGACCTTATGTGTACAGTAGCAGGCTTTAAGTGCCTGCCAACTGAAGGTGGTCTTGCCAGAGTGGACCCGCGGGGAATGGGCAGTTGGGGGGTTGATTCCATGACCCAGATCAACAATCATTCTGCGCACATTTCATTGTCGAACTCTAACTCCTTATTTCCCTGTCCATTTCTCGTGCTGCCGAGAGCGGTGACGATAACCCAACCAGTAACGCCAGTTCTGCTTCTGATATCTGTGATGCGTACCTGGTTGTATAACCTTCCGAGTTCTCGAGACCCCCTCCACATTTCACTGTTTCCGTTTTTTTTGTTCTGTGGTTCTTTCCTAGATTGCCCATTTCGGATTTGTTAGCATTTATTGACCTTTGGTTCAACTATACGCATAACCGAGTGTGTTCAGAGACAGGCTACCTATCCTGTGAACTGAATGAGTGTTTTGCAAGAACATAGTATGCGGGGAATGGGCAGTTGACGGGATCAACTTATGAACTCAATCAACAATCATTCTGCGCACAACTTAGCTTCGGGCTACTGCCATTTCTAACCCTCATCTCGCCATCCCTGGAGCCTCATTCTCCACCTTATGCTCTCTCCCTTCCTCACTCGCTCACTCCCTCTCTCACTCACTCTCCATCGCCCTCTCCTCTCTTTCCCGTTTCTCCGCTGCCCTGTCTGTATTTTACTTCCATAGTGGTCACAGTATCGGTTTGCGATGATGATTATCTCTGTTAAATCTGTCAATCCCCTGAAAGTGCACATGTTGACAAATTCAATCCTACAAGTTTCTGAGCAAACCAGTATAATCATTGTCTCTGTTTATTCTGTCGTTTCCGTAATTGGCCTGAATTTCTCTTTCACCAAATTCAGCCACAGATATAGGGTTTAGGGTGAGTTCTTTGCTGACCAGTGAATTGTTAATTGATATAAAGCACAACAAGCTCGTGTACTTGTATGTGTTGGAAACAACTGATTTAAGCGCCTCATACGTGT